TGGCAATTATATATGCATGTGAGTGTTTGATGTATGAAGTATCATTTGGAAGTAAAATTAGCTTCATTCCAAAATTTTAATCTTGTTTGTATGAAATGATGAAAAAGTAGAGTGACGATAAACTAATCATAGTCAAAATCATCAAACTCAAAAATTACAGAATTTCTACTCTAATATCGAAATAGCATTTTTTCTGTCAAAATAATATATTTTTTCATCAATACAGCATAAATTATAAAAAAGTTATTAGTGTTCTCCACGAAAATAGATATCACTATTCTTCTTCTTCGGAGAATAATCTAACAGGTAGTATACCTCACCGATTGTGTGGCCTAAGAAACATCCACCTTTCTGGATCTTGCTAACAACATATTGAATAGATCCATATATACCTTCATGTCTTAGCTTTGGTTACATTCCTAGTGATGTCTTCACTAGTTCTAATCCAGAACAGGACCCCACTTCCACTTCCACAAAAAAATATTTCATATCATATCGACATGGTATCTTTCTACTGGAGTTTTACTGCAGTCTATCTGACAATATTTCTTGGAATACTCACATCTCTCTCGTTGGAGCAGAGCTTGGTTCGACATCATTGATTGTTTCATCCAAAACGTTAGAAATTCGTGACGGTAGACTATTTATTGTTGGTGCCAAAATCTGTTAGATGTGGGTCTCATATCCTCTGGACCAGGCCCACGCCCCAAAGGAGAAAGCTGATCCAAGGAAGTGACTCATTCTCGGATCAGAACAAACCATGAAAAGACAGGACACGTCATTGAGATGAGGGAGACACACCACGTGAGGGATTTCTCTATATTATTGTTATCTTTTCTTTATCAAGTGGATTGATCAAAGTTGTTGAGAGGGAGAGAAGAGACTCCATGAACATCTCTTTAGTCTAGGTTTATCTTTATGTTTGCATTTCTTATGTATTTGGGATCTTTTGGTTAAGGAAATCTTATTGATTTGATAGTTTGAGATTAAAAATCTTAACAAAATCCTTTCATTTGTTGTTAATCTACATAAAACCCCCTGCTTTGTGTTTGGTTACTGTGTATTGTCTCTGCAGTCTTTAGTTTAATTATTTTATACACAGTTTTGATGTTTACAGGATCCCATATGTGTAAGCATAACATTCATCTATCTTTCATGCTTTTAACTTTTGTTCCACCTTCACATTGTATTTGACTCACAGAAATTGCTTATCACATACAATTTTACCTTGTTAGTTGTGGTTAAAGCTTCGTTGGAGTTGAAACGCCACAAGTATTTCATATAATATCCTCCACATAAGAAATCGACTCTGCAAAACATATTTTCTTATGCAACTTATGTTTTCCCAATTTCATGACATATTATTTGGAAGCATAGCGCTCGTTGGCTTGTCGATGATGCTTTCATCGTATGTCTCAGCAAAAAGTATATTGTCTTAAAATCATTTCAGCTCATCAGTTTCCTATCCGAGCTTTTGCTTGAATCTAATGTCTAGAGTCTCAACACTCACTCTAAGATAATGAATTAAGTGTTCAGTCAGAACAATAGTTTTAAAGAGCAGTCAGAACAACTGTCATTGTCTTCACCACCATGGCTCTTCACCACCATGGCTCTTCACCGCCGGAGCTCGACGAACGAATAATGGCCGTGGTGATAATAAAAACATCTTGACCGAATCAATCAAAAGCCAGATTTCAAAGATTCCAACTTTATTCGTTGATTTGTGAGTAATATCTAGAAATTGTATGACCAAACGAGTCTGCTAACTAACACTATTCAAAGTAAACGATAGTGATCATGAGCGTTTTCATTGGGCTTTGTAAAATACAAAGATTATTTCTTATTTACACTGGAACTTGTACACCAACTTGAAGAAGTTTTGGAGGAAACCTGTGTAATGATGGCAGATGATGACTCTGAATCAATTAGTTTGGTTTCTTTCCTACTCTTTATTTTTATCACTGGTAATACTTCAGCTCTTCGTTTTCCTTGTTTACCTTATTTTTATAGCTATCTGAAGATTATTTCTGAGTTTTTTTCTTTTCTTTTTACATGGCAGCCATAGCTGTGTCTGGAGATTCTCTGGACATTAAACCTGAAATCTTACCTCGAATCAAGGAACCCAACAAACCGAGGATTGTACACGAAATGGAGAGAAGCTTGATATTACGTTGTCTTAAAATAAACCGAGGATTCACTCCGTGGTATAAAGTACGTTGTCTTAAAATAATTTCAGCTCAGTTCCTTGGATATTCCTGTTCAACTAAAAGCTTGAAATACACTCTGTTTCTCTAAGTATATGTGCTTTCGATTTAACATACATGTATATGTCTGGAGTCTTTATACCACGGAGTGAATCTCTCTTGAAGTGCTGAGATCTCCACATACCTTTTTGTTGCCAGTCTCTAACAAAAGAAGCTCTCTGTGAAATGGCGATAGTCTTATCCAAATCTACCAAAGTGCAACGCTATTTATTCCATTTGCATGTAGAGTAGACTAAAAATTATCATTAAACTAATTGAAGCGATTAGGGTGGGCTAAGTTACTTTAGTAACAATATTCTCACCTGCAGGGTATTAAGAAACCTGGAGAGACTGAATTTCTCTTTTAATGAAATCAACAATAGCATCTAGCACAACCTACTTATTGCTCATGTGTCGTTTGATTTTTATTTAGTTATCACTATAAATTTCTATCATGCACAAAATGTTTCGTATCAAAGAAAAACTCATTTGAGTTATTAACAAGAGGAAGACCACACGAAATGGCGGCAAAAAGCTTGGAGATCCCCATCACTCAACCTATCCACCTTGGAGGATATCAACAAGGAGAGCCCGTCACATATATTCAAAACTAAATATGTATATTTTGTGTATTTTCAACATTTTAACTTAAATTTAAACAAAAATGTTTTATAACAAAAAAAAACAGAACGAGTTGAAAGCTTCAAAATATCAGATGAGAAAAAACCTGAAATTTGTGTAAAATTAGATCCTTTTAAATTGGAATTTAAAAAGGTTATTTGCTTAAATTAGATATGTTTGAACGTGAAGTACATATAGCTTCTTATTTATATATATCTTATAGATAGACGCACATTAGTTAAAGTACAATTTGTAATATCCTTTCAATTTTAAAAAGTTGAAAACACTCTTGCTTCGTTTCTATCTTCAAAGATGAGGAAGTCGCTTCAATTCGTATTCATATTTTCTACTTTCTTCATCATCATGTTTATGATAGGTTCGTATATAAATTTAAAACCGTTTTAATATATTTATATTTATTCTTTCTAAAAAAAATTGATTATGACTACCATGTTATTGCTATTTCTATTGAATTTTTATTGAAAAGTAACATTTCAAAAAGTGATATTTTTCAAAAATTCTTTTCTATTAACCATCAATTTTTCAACTATATTATCCATGCTGGAAATATGTCAAATCCAAACGAGATGTAGAAAAATAAGTTCAAACGTTTTATGTTCGACCTAACAAACCGATCCCCGATTGCAATTTCTTTCTTCATCTATATTGTTAATTATCTTATTTTTAGTTATATGTCTTACTATATTCTAAAATTTTCATTGCACTAGAAATTGATTCCATTGTTTCTCAAACTACTTCTTTTTTCTTTTGATTTCTTAAATATTGATGTTATGTAACTTTTTAGATAAGTTTCTACACTATATGTTTCACAAAAATTGTAATTTTCAAATTTTATGATCTTTCACAAATACTATCATTTTATATTTCCAATGCATGGTTTTAGACAAATCCAGTTTTAATTAATTAGATAGAGAAATTTATTTGATCTACTAATGAGTGGTAAAGTAAATTCTTTAATAGTTTTTTTAATATGAGTGAAAAATTATAGAATGATACATCTAATTTACCACTAT